TGTTTGACAAATTGTGTATTTCTAGTAGTGTCCGAACGTTCCTCATGTTTTTTGCGTTTTGCAACAGTTCATCGCCAGCTGATGCTTCCAATTCACGACGAACTTTATGTACGAATGATCGGGCGCAATTGAGAAAATTGGAGATTTCTAAATCGGTGTGTTTCGCGCATATAGCGACGATAACTGCATGTCTCTTCATTTCTTGCGTTATTTTATAGTCCTCCATTGATGATCTGACAAGAAAAAAAACAAACAAAATTGTTCTCCAGAAATTACATCCACATATATGAGTGTCCTCAAATACCGTACGCACCCTGTATACACAGGGTGTCCCATTTTAATGTCCCACCTAAAATAACTTTTCAATATTGAAGTTTCAAGGAAAATGATCTGAATAAAAGTTGTAGTAAAAAAAGTGTAGTAATAAAAGTGTAAGGATCTATGATGACCTTATGATGACCTTGACTTTGACCTTGACCTCTATTTTCAAGGTCATTTGAAGGTCAACTTACGTTTTTTAAATGGGAACCCTTATTTTTTATTACACTATTTTTTTTTACTACTAGTTAATTTGAACAACTTTTGTCTAAAACATTTTTTTATTTGTCTAATATTTTTTGAAATATTTGAGCAAAACTTAATAACTTTTTCAATATTTAACTTACGATATCTCACTAATTATTTGTTGGAAGAAAAAGTGGTATTAGACTTTCTTGTTTTATTTAGTCTTAAGAATATATTGTTACCATAGCACCCTGATTTTTGTTAATTTGATGATTTTGAAATTTCCAAAAATCAGTTTTTGATACGAACAAATGAGGATTTTTCTGAAATGATTGGAGAACATCCAAAATCTTACCATCATTTATTGCGGATTTTGGCCTTTCGCTGCGAGAGCGGTCCTTAACTGTTCCCGTTTCAAAAAGACGAGTCACTGTTCTGCAAACGGTAGATTTAGAAATAGGATCGAGATCAGGTGTAACATTGAATAGATTAGCTACTTCTTGATATGATATAATATGGTCACCAAATCCTCGATAAATAAATGGCAATATTCTTTCTTTTTCGGTCAAAATTTTTCAGAGAAAAATGTGATATAATCGGAAAAAGAAACAAAAGAAACAAAGAACGAGATACGAGCGAGCGCAATTCGTTTTTAGAATATGTGGACTGAGAAGCATCTCTGATCGCACCTCCGCGCGGTACACTTTGGGTAATGCTAATGCCGGCGGTACTGTAACTTTCAAGCGTCATAACTCGGAAAGAACTTAATAAAAAATTATTTTAGTGTTTTTTAAAAAATTATATAATGTTTTGGAAAGCTCTCGAGATAAGCTACAAGAATGTCCAATAAAAAATAGGAGGTTCCATTTAAAAAAACAAAGTTGACCTTCGTATGACCTTAACAACGCCACCTATGGTCAAACTGATATGACTACTAAATAGATCTTTTTAAGTCTTACAACTTTTGTATGAAACATTTTTTTGTATCTTTCATATTTTTCGAAATATTTTAGCATTTCCGGACTTTTTGAGGACCTTATATACAGGTTTTCCTCAATTCTGGAACGCCATATTGGATCCGCCATCTTGAATGTCGGGATCCCGAACCATTAACTATCTCGAAAACTATTGGATAATTATCTAACCAGAAACTGCTTGGACTGACAATGTCGCCGAATAGTTGTCTCCGGGTCAATGGAATGACGTATTTTTCACTAGTTTTGATGGATTTACGGTCCTTTCCACAGGTCTTCAGCCAAAAGGGCCGTTATTTCTGCATCTTATATAGTTTATAGATAACCATGATACCCGATTTTTAGGTTCTACCTGTAGTCGGAAAATCGGTCTTTTTTAACATCCTTCTTTATAAATCCCTTTACACGTTTAAAATGCATGTTTTAATGCATCGCAGGAGTAAAACTTTTATACCAGAAATATGAAAAAAAATATAAAGATGGCATCTGAATTTGTCTTTTTAAAAAAATATGCACTTTATACAGGGTGTGAAAAAAGTACCGGACCGGTAAAATATCTCGAAAACAAGACATCTTAGAACAAAATGTTTCATATAAAAGTTGTAAAGTTTTAAAAAACGCACCAAACGCCGATATTTATTTGACGTTGAGCATAAGCTTGGAGGGGCTATCAAGTTTAGGTTGAATTTTTTAAATAGAATTTTTCTGTAGTCGGAATAGAATATTTTCTTAGGAAAAGTTATATACGTGCATTTTCTGAGCTGTAAGTAGAACAAAGCAGTATAGCCATATAGTTTACTGAAGTTATGTTAATAGCGTTAATAAATGTGTGTGTAACAATAAATAAAGTGCAGGAAGGAACCTTAGTATAAATAGTCTTCCTGTTCGAAGAATTTTCTGAATTAGTGCACATTAGTGCGATAAGTTAGAGTAAAATAAAATATACTTTTTGTATATCCTATATATATTTTCTGTATGTTTCCCTCTAACTTATTGCAGCAGTATCTATTAGTTCAGGAAATGCTTCAAAAAAGAACAAACGTTAAATTTTGAAGCTAGAAACGAGTATGCTATGACATCATAGATAACATATATACAGTCTGTCTCAGATCCAATGAGACTGATCTAAAAAAATACAAAGCGTTTATTATTTTGATTTTTTATTCTTGTTTATTCAAAATAGTCTCCTTCTGAGTCAATACAGCGCTGGAAACGTTCAACAAATTTTTCGAAACATTTTTTATACTCATCGGCTAGAATGGCCTTTAGTATGGCGGTCGAAGTCTTTTGGATGACCGGGATGGTATCGAAACGATTTCCTTTCATCGTCAATTTCAGTTTGGGAAATAGCCAGAAGTCGCACGGAGCCAAATCAGGTGAATACAGTGGATGATCGATAACAATGATGCCTTTTTTGGTCAAGAATTCACGTACCATGATGGTTTTGTGCGATTGGTGCATTATCGTGCAACCTTCCGTTTACCCAAATCTTCGGTCAAAATTCGATAGACTGTGCTTTTCGATATCCCAGTTTCCTCTTCGATGAGTCTCGCAGACACACAGCGGTCGCTTCGAAGAATTTCTTTGACTTTCTCGATGTTTTCTTCATTGCGAGTGGTTTTTGGCGGCGGTGCTCGGTCATCGTCTGCAAGGTCCTCACGACCGTCACGGAATCGTCCAAACTAACGGAAAATCTGTGCACGGGACATGCATTCATCCCCGTACACATTTTTTATCGTTTCGTACGTTTCTGCACCACTTTTACCCAATTTAAAACATGTTCCATGTTGGTTTTTCGACCGACGTACACAAAGTGACTTTACATAAAATGTCAAACCACAGTGAAATATCAACCGAATTCGCTCAAATTTTGAGGTTAAGTAGAAGAAAGGTAGAACATTCACCTACCATCATTCACTCATAGATATCGTTGCGCTAAGAACTTTGATGGAACCAGTCTCATCGTATCTGGGACAGATTGTGTAGAAGGCTTTAACTTTAAATACTCATCTTACAATGCTCATTTTATATGAAGTTAATGTAAGATATAATTATGTGATACTAAATATACATAAAAACAAAAAATCTATTTTCTCTTTTATGAAATATAATATAATTTCGTAACCATATTTATGAAAGTAACCAATAACAGTGGTGAAAATAATTTATAAATTAAAGATTATAATATAAGAGATATTATAAATAGAGATTATAAAAATTATATTACAATTGCTAAAATATAAAAATATAGAAATATTGTCATTTTCTACATTTTGAGAAGCCATAAACATAGCAATAAACTACAGCAACAAACTATATACTACTATAAAACACAACTATTTTATAGGTAATTTTATATAGAGTGATCTGGAAACTAATCATATATTTTTAGCAAATGTTTCTTTACTCTTTATTTATTAATAACTCTAACTCATAATTTACTGTTATGTACAGAGTGTCCGTCCCATTTAAATGCAGGTAAATATCTCGAAAAATATGGAACATATGGAAAAATGTTTCAGACAAAAGTATGGTTTGTATGGCTTCAAGGGGGACATAAAATAACTATGTTTGTTTGTTGTTGGCGCCACTTTTAAAATATTCACTGATCATTATTTTTCTTAAATGGAAACCCGAATTTTTTATTATATCATACTTTTTTATCAATTAATTTGAACAATTTTTGTCTGAAACGTTTTTTTATTTGTCTAATATTTTTTGAGATATTTCAGGAAAACTTTCTCAATATTTAACTTACGATATCTCGTTGTTTGTCGGAAGAAAAAATGGTACTAGACTTTTTTACTCTACTTGGTCTCAAGAATATATTGCTACAATAGCGCCCTGACTTTTATTAATTTGATGATTTTGAAATTTCCAAAAGTCGATAAGTTAACAAAAGTTAGGGCACTACTGTAACAATATATTCTTGAGTCCACATAGAGTAAAAAAGTTTAGTACCATTTTTTCTTCCGACGAACAGTTAGCGAGATATCATAAGGTAAATATTGAAAAAATTATCAAGTTTTCTGAAATATCTCAAAAAATATTAGGCAAATAAAAAATGTTTCAGACAAAAGTTGTTCAAATTAATTGATAGAAAAAAATGATATAATAAAAAATTGGGGTTTCCATTTAAGAAAAGTAACAATTAGTGAATATTTCGGAAGTGGCGCGTCTGTAAACAAACTGTTATAGTTATTTTATGCTCCCTTGAAACCATACAACTTTTATCTGAAATGTTTTTCCCTATCTTTTATATTTTTCGAGATATTGGTCTGGGATATTTAAAACGGAACACTCTGTATAGTTCATTGTTCTTTTTTATCTACACTTTACGACTTTCTCTTAAATGATAATTATGTTTGGAATATTATATAATGAACTATTATTTAATAATAACTACCCATTGATTAATTTTTACTCAAAATTAAAGAATGAATGTTTTTGAGTAAATATATATAAGATTATATAAATTTTTAAATATTTGCTGAATTCTAAAAGGAACTGTTCTTAATGCAGGGTTATAAATGCGAGACATGTCGTCTAGCCGTGCACAAACAGTGCATCGCGCACTCAGGTCGCTGTATGCCAGCACCGCCTTCACCGACACCACCTCCACCATTACCTTGCGAACGTGCTCTATCTGTGAAACTATGGTTTGTCGGAGAAATGGGCAGAGATGCAGCTTCGAACAAACTAGAATCTCGTGAAGACGGGACATACATGCTGCGCGTTCGTCCGGCGGGACAACCACGTCTTCAGCATGAAACTAATTACGCGCTTAGTATTAAGTGAGTTCCAAATCCATAAAAAAGAATTATATTATTCTACGTATATTTTTATTATTAAATTATGCTACATTATAATATAATGAACGTATTACATTTTAGAGCGGAAGGAGCGGTAAAACATATCCGTGTATTTAAGCGTGATGTGGAGGGCGCGGACTTTTATTATCTCAGCGAATCTCGTTTCTTCAAGAGCGTCGTCGAACTCGTTGAATACTACGAGCGGGCATCACTATCAGAAAACTTTGAGAAATTGGATCAGCGTCTACTATGGCCGTACCGGCGAATTTTGGCTAAAGCGCTTTTCGATTTCCATGGCTGCGAACGTAATCAATTGAGCCTGCGACGTGGTTGCCGGGTTGTAGTACTGAGCAAGGAGGGCGATGCCAAAGGGTGGTGGAAGGGTAAAATAGGAGATCAAGTAGGATTTTTTCCGAAAGAATACGTTGAAGAGGAATAGAACTATTAAGATTCTTATTCCCTCGCCGCGGAACTTTCGGTTAATGTTGTTAGAAGCAGGAAAATCTATATTGAAAATTTTTATGGATTATTTTATGGATAAATAGAAAGATATATTCATAAAATGATACAATCGATTGAATACATTTTTAAAATGCCCAGAAAATTTTTCTTTTATAATAATCAATAAATAAATGTATAATTGTAAAACATGATATGCAATCTTCTTGTTTAATCTACCTCCTCTCATGATTTTTTCACATTGATTTTTTATCTATTGGTTATTTAATTTTATGATTATTTATTAATCGTTAAAGCAAAGGAAAATTTCCGAGATATTTTAGGTATATGCTGAATTAATTGCAAAAGTCATTTTATGGATATATTTTTTTTATTTTGACGTAACTTGTAGAAATTTTCAGCATGGACTTCTTTGTTTCTGACATCATTGTTTAAGATGACTGCGGTAAGGAAACAGGAGTCTTTATGAAATTGTTACATCTCGTTGCGTATGATGTGTCGGGCTTCGAAAATAAATAAATTGTAAACTTGATAAACAAAACTCACAAAGTACTATTTCTTATGATTAGTTAAGCATTGATAATATTCAAGTACTAGAGTGACATCAAAGGACGTATTAGTCACATATTAATAATATCTCTGCCATCATAAAATGCGTCATTGATGTTATCATATTTACTGGATAAAGTACATAATCTAAAATTGCTCATGCATTAACAAGTATTTTGATCAATTAGACAAACAAACTGAAAATTAAAACTAAAATAATGAATATCAGTATGTAAAGAACAATTTTTCGAAAATATTGATATTTATTATCATAACGTTTCCTCTAAAATCTATATTTTGTTATATTCTAAAGCTTTAAGGCCTCTGGAGTTTTTTGTTACGCTCATTTTGAATGCTGATGTCAGAGAATGAGAAAATACACGTCTAAAAGCGTGTGCGAAATATTAAAATAAAAAGATATGTTCATAAAATTATATTTTCTACATGTTCATAAGATATATTTTATTGATTAACTCTTATAATCTGGGGAGCCACTATAGTAACGTAGCAGGAGTCTCAATGTTTATTAATCTATCTTTTGACATATATGAAAAAGTTCTAGTTCAAAAATTATAAAAGTCGCTCAAAAAATCACCCAGATTGTAAGGATTAATGATACTTTCCGATCTATTAGGTATATTTATAGAATATCAAAAAGCTGAAAGATTCTCCTATATTCCAATAATCAGCCGTATAATCCAATAAATAGCCGTAAAATTAATATGACTATAACTTTTTTTTTTAATATATAATTTTGCCATATGCATTTTATGGCTATTTATTGATTATTGAAATAAGAAAAAAATTTTCGGAATTTTTTGCTAATAGGCTCAATCACAGTTATGAAATGTTTTTTAATATATTAGAATTTAAACATGTATTTACTTATGTTTAAAGCTGTTGATTGCTCGTCACGTAATTGTTGATTGATGATATTAGAAATGAGAAAACACGTGCTCAAAATTTTTGCGTGCTATTTTAAAATAAAAAAGTATTCGTATGGAAAAATATTTTGTTAGAGCACACTTGTAAAATATATCGAACGCTATGATTTTTTCTTAAAAGTTAATCAACAATCGTAAAATGATTATAATAAGAGGCTGGTCATACGGAAGTGATTGCGCATGCGTATAATTAGGCCATATGAGTATTACAGTTATTTTATGACTGTTAATTGGCTATCAAGACAGAAATATGATATCCGAAACATTTTATAAGTACGCTCTAATATTTTAAAATATTCTTTTATACAAATATCTTTTAATTTGGAAGTAATACTCAAGAATTTTTAGTGCATCATTTCTTGCTTCTGGCGTTACTATTCAACATCGACAAACAACATAGAGAAGCACTTAGGAACCTTATAGTCATTAATCAAGATGAATGTAACGAGGATATAGAATGTGTCACCATGTGCATGTGCAACAATGCATCAATGTATGTCAAGGTTCACGGCTCATCATGATTATACTGGATAATGACGTCAGAAGCGAGAAATGACACATTGAAAATTTTTGCGTACCTTTTTCGCATAAAAAGATATTTGTACAAAAGAATATTAAAGGATCACTAGAACGTACTTGTAAAAAGCTCCGAACACTATGCTTTTTTTTGATAGATAATTAGTTTACTGGTTACCCGAAATCAAAGTTTCGTGCCAAAACAGGTCAAAGAAAATAATTCCATATTTTACATGAAAGCTTACTTATTAAGAGGTTTTCTTGAATCATTGATGATGAATCCAGAGTCGAAATTGCATATTTCAAAATGGAAGATCCATTATGGCGGCTCCAAATAACTAATTTTATTTCCTTATAGAGATGATCATATTTGATTAATTTATGTTTTTCGTATCGCTGATAATGAATCGAGTCGAAATTGCAAAATCTAAAATAGTGGATCAAACACGACAGCTTTTAGTGATTAACGGTAGTGATTAACGGTATTCCATTACCGGTATTCCATTACCGGATTAACGGTATTCCATGGGTATTTTTACTTCCGTTATTAGCGGGTGAAATATGTTGAAGAAAACTACTTCTTTGCCGAATGGGTTTGGTGGAAATCTCGGATTTACGACTATTATCGAAAAGTTGATACTATCATGATAATGAAAAACAAGTTTGTCTTCTCACTTGTTGAGGAATAAATTTTCAATTCCGTGTTCTATGAAAGGTCTAGCTCTCGTTTTTCAAATTTTATTATGAAGTGTGTATCAAACAATACAAAAATATTCAAAACTAACTTTAGAGAAAATTTGACCCTGAATTCGTAATGAATGATTCAAAAGATATAACAATCTTGAGTGCGTAATTAAAATGAAGTAATAAAATTTGAATGTCTTTAACCAATCCGTTATCTGCAACCAAAAAACATACTGAATTTGATATAAGTTCATAATCACTTGAACTGCTATATTAGATGTTACTTTGAATTTTGTAATCTCGACTCTGTTATTCATCATTAGCGATCCGAAAGAGGGAAAAGGAGGAGAAAGAGAAACAGAGATAGAAAAAGAGAGAGGGAGAGAGAGAGAAACAGAGATAGAAAGAGAGAAAGAGAGAAAGAGAGAGGGAGAGAGAATTGAGATATAAAGGACTTAGGAGCGGTTGTTCCAAATTCTTGGTAAGTTAACTGACAGTTAAATCATATGTCTGTCTTTGTCCAAGTTGAAGGAAAAACAAAGACAAACATATGATTTAACTATCGGCTAACTTACGAGAAGTTTGAATAACCGGGCTTTAACCTTTAGACTGCGGGACACTTGAGAACAAGACAATGATCGTGTGCAGTGTGGAGCTATCATGATGTTTCGCTTCTGCGCGTTACGATGTTAACAAATAAAGATGTCTAAGGAAGAAGTTGTTCGCATACAATGAGCTTTGAGCGTCGGACATCTTTAAACGCTGTTAGAGTGAACGTTGAATATCAGGTATATACAGGGTGGGAGGTTATATATAAGTTGACAACCCGAAATGTGAAGGTAGATTGGGTTAAGACAAACATAAAAGTCCCATACCGTTTTGCGAGATTCGCAATAATTATCGAGTTATTAATGACAGAAATCTGAAGAATGGGAGCGCGCCGACATAGATGATTGGAGAAGCGTTGCAGCTACTCAGGCCACAGCGCGACCCACTCGACCTAGCAACTGTTGGCGGCGTGCGGCGAGGCGTAGGTCCGGCGAGATAAAACAACGAATAACAGCACATTGTCTTTCCCCTCGCCGCGCACCGGTAACAGTTTCTGGATCAACTGGGCCGCGCTGCGGCCTAAGCAGCTGCAACGCTTCTCCAGTCATCTATGCCGGTGCGCTCCCACTCCTCAGATTTCTGTCATTAATAACTCGATAATTATTGCGAATCTCGCAAAACGGTATGGGACTTTTATGTTTGTCTTAACCCAATCTAACTTCACATTTCGGGTTGTCAACTTATAACCTCCCACCCTGTATAAGCATCATTTGCACTTTACAAGTTAAATTATTAGAGATGGACTCCATATATGTTGAGATGTATCAAAATGTAAGTTTTGAAGGAGTCACTTTATAAGGATAAAAAACAAATACTTTTTTAATTTTATCGTTCTTTGATATAAGATATTTGCAGGTGAGAACATTTATTTATCTTTATTCCTTTACGCTTTTTAACCTTTTGGCTGACAGTGTCTATAAGTACTTAATCAAAGCCTTACGAAGGTTATGTTGAAAGTTTTTAGATATTCTTAAACAAATGAATTTATTTAAACAATACATATTACAATTTTTCAAAATTCCTGAGCATCAATACACTTGTGCATTCTCAAAAACTAGTTATTAAATATTTTATTCCATTCTTGTTTTGACACCATCGATACTTCCTCATTGTAAGTTGCAAATACTTCTTCTGATGTTTCAAATCGACGTCCCCAAAGCTTTCCTTTCACTTTTGGGAACAATGCGAAATCGCAAAGAATAAAATTTGGAGAGTAAATAGATGAGATGAGACCACGGGTGCCACCTCTATGCCAGGCTTTGCTCGGAAGTCTAAAAAAAGCGGAGGAGGGTGGCAAGAACAAATAAAAATACATATCAAATTAAAAAGACGTATCAAATTAAAAATACGTATCAAATATTAAATTTTCGAATACATTAATATATTAACATATAAGTTCAAATTAAATATCGTGCGATACTAATAATTATTATAAAATTAAACATTATTTATATTATGAATATACGCATATTGCACTATCATATCGTTATGAAAAAATATTATGAAAAAATACGCTCTACCCAATATTTTAATATGTTAACATAATATTATGTTTAAATTAAACATATAATTTTATACGTTAGTAAAAATAAATACATAACTATTATTTGATTAAAATATTATTTGATTAAAATTTGATGAAAATTTATAAAAATTTTTAAAGTGTGTTAAGACTTAAAGCTATATTATTTTTTTCTCTCTCTCTTTTTCTCTCTGTCCGATTATAAAAAATAGGGAAAATATAATCTCTCTTCTTCTCACATCATATGACTCGGAGATTTTTCTCTTGAACCAGAAAGCCGGAGATTTTGTGTTTCGCCTGGAGATTTCGGGCGAAAACTGAAGAGGTGGCAACCATGGATAGGACTCGAACTTGATTTTCCTGCAAAATCTCCTAAATTCTCGCCGCTGTGTGAGACGTGCATTGTCGTGTCAGAATGAAATGGTGAAGTATCGACCTTGGATATGTAGAAGCCCGCGCCTCAAAGACTTTCGGAAGGCAGTGCGTAAGATACCACTCTGCTGTCACAGTGCGTTCTAATGGAACAATCACTATATGGTCTGCTTTTGTGAAGAAAGATCATAATTTTCTCTACGCTCCGTTGTTATTACATTTTTTATGGTTTCATTTTGAAAACACCAATTGCTATTTTATTTCTGAATCATAATAACATATCCAAGTTTCATCATCTATGACGATATAATATTACAAACGTTCTTTGCCCTTTTCTAAACCTTTGCAGCATATAACGATATCGACCAGCTTTTCCTTTTGCTCAGACGTAAACAAATGTGACACTCAACGACTGCATCGCTTTGTGAGATGCAGGTGATCCATAATTATCGTCTGCGCTGCAGTTGATCCGATTTTCAGGATCGCTTCTATTTTCCCATAAGCTATTTGCCGGTCTTCTTTCATTAGTTTTTTTACAGCAGCAATATTTTTGTCCGTTTGAGGACGCCCAGAGCGTGGCTCGTCTTTAAAACTTTGCCTCCACGTTTAAATTCGGCAAACCAATTGAACACTGCAGCACGTGATGGAGCCGAGTCCCCAAAATAGACCCCTGCGCCATTAATTTAATATCGCCGGCGGCGATGGAAAATTAGTCAGCGGCGGCGGATTCGTCGAAAATTTTCGTTATCGGCGGCGGCGGTATCAGCGTATACTAATTTACCGGCGGCAGTGGCGGACGGCGGCGTCAGGACATTTTTTCTTATATTAATAACAATTGAATATCAAAATATTAAAGTAGTTTTTCTATGCTTTAGGGAGAAAGAAAAAAATGGTTTCTACAAGAAACTACAGAAAGGTACAAGACGCGAAAATGCCTGTCGCACAGATAGTTTAGATAACATATAGCCAATAAGCAGGACAGATATAAAAATGAGATAAAGAAAGAAAGAGAGTATCCGAGTGACGTTTTCGAATGCAGCCTGGAGAGTAGTAACTACACATGGCACGCAGCTAATCGTGTTAGTATGTTAAAATCAATGAGGAATATTTATATATAGGGTGTTTGATAGCTGATCATGCAGACGAAAGTTGGAGATAGATTGGGTGTAGCCGAGAAGAAAAGTCATGTACCATAATGTCAAATTGGCAATAGTTACCGAGTTATTAATTAAAACATGTGAGCCAACGAGCGCGTAGAGAGCGGAGGGCAGCCGCAGTAAGCACGTAGACATTTGATACAGGCGGAGTCAGCGAGTGGCGGTAGGCAAGCGCGCGCGGCGAGGAGCAACGTAAGCGACAAGAGGCGATCGCGCGCGACGAGGAGCGAGCGAGCTTTTTCTTTATAGCTTTTTCCTTATAGCTCGCTCACTCCTCGTCATTCGCGCTCGCTCGCTCTTCGTCGCGCTCGCTCGCCTCTTGTCGCTTGCGCTCGCTCGCTCCTCATCGCGCGCACTCGCCTCTTGTCGTTTACGTTGCTCCTCGCCACGCGCGCTTGCCTACCGCCACTCGCTGACTCCGCCTGTATCAAATGTCTACGTGCTTACTGCAGTCGCCCTCCGCTCTCTACGCGCTCGTTGGCTCACATGTTTTAATTAATAACTCGATAACTATTGGCAATTTGACATTGTGGTACATGACTTTTCTTTTCGGCTACACCCAATCTATCTCCAATTTTCGTCTGCATGATCAGCTATCAAACACCCTGTATATATAATAAGAATTATTATTATCCAGAATATATAATAATAAGACTTGAAATGTCATTACTTTTTCTTTATTATAGATTTTTTTCCATCTTTTAGATAAAACAAAATATAAAAATTTATTCTGTAACAGAATATTTCTTTTAGTAAACCAGCATATTTCTTATTTAATTTTATGACTTGAAATATGTAATCCTTATTAATTCAAAATTATCGTATATGAGTAAGATTTTATTAGCTTTTGGTGGTTTTAATGAAGAACGTTTTGCTGTAATAAGTAAACCTGCAGAAGAGAATGCACGTTCAGATGCTGAACTTATAATTGATATAGCATGCACGCAACACATCAATTTATATAAATTTGGAAGCCACAGCTTAATTTCATTCCATCATTATAAATCTTCAACAGACTCTGATATATGTAGATATTTTTTAATTTCGATAAGAATAGGATCATAGGAGGAAACTGGGCTTGTATGCTTTGCAGCTAATTCTAATCGTAATTTCTTAACTCCTAGAAGTTGACGTGGCTTAATAGAATTATCATTTACTTTTTTGTTAACTACCTGTTGTGCATGGTAAAGTACGGTTAAATATAGAAATTTATCTGTAGCAGTATTTTAAGAATAGAAATATATACAGGGTACAGAACTTTAACACACCAGCACCATAGATAGGAGCGTAGAGCTAAGTGAGAGGAACAAAAAAGTCCTGTTCTATTTTGCGATAACTGTTATAGTTTTTGAATAATAACCGCGTAAAGTTCTGCGAATTTAACTCGAAACTTAGCTCTACGTCCCTGGTGTGTTAAAGTTCTGGGACATCCTGTATAAGATGAGACAACAACTATTATTATCACACCTTAAATATTTTCGAAGCAAAAAACCTTCATATTCAGAAAACTATTTCATCTATAAAAAAAGCGTAATTATTAGGAAACATTTTCTTCTTGGATGCAATAGCTTTGAAGATTTGAAGACGTGAAGGTCATCTTAATTTTGTTACAAAATTATTTAAAATAATAATAGTTATTGTCTCTGTGTATGGTGATTGATATAAGTTGTTGCAAATGCAAATTACATAAAAATTTTTATTAATTATGATATATTAGAAAGTTTTATTTATGATAAATTCAATTTAAAGTAAAAAATGCATTAGAAATATAATTTAATTGAAAATATCTATGAATTGATTTTTATTATTTGAATAACATGTAAATAAAATAATTAGACCTATTTATAAAACAAGTAAACTTACTTATTAAAACATTATATTATCTGATAGTTTAATAACAATTCAGGCAATTTTTACTAGTGAAAATATATTTTATTAGAAAAAAAATATTTTTTTAATATTATCAAATGTAATAGTGAATTCGGTCTTTTATCCTAGTGCAAACTGAGTGCGCACTATAGTCGCTTATAGTTTGTTTTTATATTTAAGATTGTTTTAAATATATGTATTTTAGATATATCTTCAACAAGTTCTTAAATAATAAAACAATTCATATAGATGCCGTACAGATTATTTTACTACCTAAAAATATTTGAAAATATAGACACTCTGTAAATATAAGAATAAATTACGAATAAGCCTTAGTACGCACTCAATATACAATAGTGCAAAGAGCAGAATTTGCTATAAAACATCATTTAATAGGTACATTCGGCAATGTAAATCGGAAGCATCGGATTGCTGGGGTGCTATTCCGTATGCTTAACAACTATCGGTGTCGTTTACAAAGTTGCGCAGCTTTTCTATAGTATACAAAAGTTGCGTAGTACTGTTAACGACATCAATAGTTGTCAGTAAGCGTGTATAGCACCCCAGCAATCCGATGCCTCCGATTTACATTGCCGAACGCACCTAATATTGATAACTGAAATATAAAAATAATTTTACCTGCTCATTTAAATTATGTAAAGAAACCATTTTGTGAATCATATATTTCAAAAACTTTTCAAAAGATTGCTGTTTTTTTGCAAGATATTCTGCAATTCTTTTCATATTTTGAAAAGTCGGATCTAAAAGTGCAGCACAAACATAAATTTCATGAATTGGAAATCTTTTATCTAAATTTATAAAAGTATTTATTTTAAGTTGCTTTATTATGAAAGAATCATCCTCGTTTACATGCATGTTACTTTCAATTTCTGCCCTATAAAGATTGAAAAAAAAATTTAAATAGAATATAGTAAAGTTTTTTTAACTATATTAAAATTAAAATAAAGTTCATATTATCTAGTTTAGCGAAACATTTTCGTATATGATAATAAATAATTCACATTATTCATGATAATTATTATATTGATTACCTTTTAGGCAAATTTAACATATAATTATACTAGGTGCGCAACTAAGTTTCCGGGTTTCACACATGGATGGCGCTAACGACGCATGTAGTCGACATACATGTCTGAAGTTGTGTTTTTTTATAGCTTGGACATCTGTTAACAATAACCAGTCGTAATACCAATACATATCGCAACGCAAAAATATTTTTTCTAACAATGAAGATGTCGAGTTTTATGCCAAATAAACAGCATTTGCGGGAAGCTTTGCTTTTCTACTTTAACTTGAAGAAAAGTGCAGCTGAAGCACGTTGTTTGCTTGAGGAGGCCTACGGCGAACATGCACCATCGAAAACTACCTGTGAAGATTGGTTTAAATGCTTCAGAAGTGGCGTTTTCGACACTGAGGACAAGGAGCGCTCCGGAAGACCAAAAACAATTGAGGACGCCGATCTGCAAGCGTTATTGGATGAAGATGATACGCAAACATAAGATCAACTTGCGGAAGCATTAAACATGACTCGCCAAAGTATTTCCAAACGTTTACATGCCATGGGAAAAATTCAAAAGGAAGGAAAATGGGTGCCGCATGAGTTGACTGAGAGACAAATGGAAAATCGAAGAGTCACTTCCGAAATTTTGCTTTTGCGGCATGAGAGAAAGAGTTTTCTGCATCGAATTGTTACTGCCAATGAGAAGTGGATATATTTCGAGAATCCCAAACGCAAGAAATCGTGACTTTCACCTGGCGAAGCATCAACATCGACGGCACGGCCAAATCGCTTCGGAAAGAAGACAATGCTTTGCGTTTGGTGGGACCAAAAAGGAATTGTGTACTGTGAGCTGTTGAAACCGGGTGAAGCTGTCAATGGGCATCGCTACAATAACTGATCAATTTGAACCATGCATTGCTCGAAAAACGACCAGAATGGGACATGAGACACGAACGAGTGATATTGCAGCACGACAACGCTCCGTGCCATCGCACTTCCATCGTTCAGGACACGCGTTCAAAACGCTGAAATGGGATCTGCTACCGCACCCGCCGTATTTGCCAGACCTAGCCCCTTCCACTTGTTCCGGTCGATGCATGGCCTGGGTGGGCTTACTATCTTACTATCTTTGAAATTACTTGTTCTTGGACGAATTCTAAGACAATTTTTTCTCTTGCAAAATGTTATTCAAAGTTTAGTTTTTTAATTATAAAAATAAGCAGTTTGTTTATTACGTGTCAGATATAGAAGATAGGTAAGGATGACACGTCAGACGCAGGCGATGAAGTTGAACAACATCTGATGCAATGAGTCGATGCACGTGATAAGATTGTACACATTATTTTTGTAACTTCCGTTAATGATCGTGCGTATCGTATTAAGTGCTGCGAGGGAGATCCACGAAGTCGATACGCATTTCTTTCCTTCGATGATTGCACAACGAAATGTAATAGTTGACGGCAATGTTATCCGGTATGTACGGGTTAATGTGGTCGCCAAGCAACAAGGATTAATGCGATTGTAATAATAAATAAAGTATTTTAAATTAGTAGGACACGATTATAACATAATGTTTGAGGATAAAATATTTGATTACGCGAGCATTTTCCCAAACAAATAAAATTTGAAAATATAAACGAGAAAGACAAAATGTCAATCGCAGTTTAAAAAGCATAAGATATCCTTACTTTTGAAGAAACCGATGGATTTGTATTCTTTTTATTATTATATTATTATTTATCTTGAAAGTGACAGCTTTTACCACTTATTAGCGCGCGTTCGTTTCTGTAATATTAAAGAGATTTATTTTCAATTTTATATTTGGTTCAATCGTGAGTTATAGACTTTTCTTCCTTCTTATAATAAGTAAAATTAAAAAGAACAGAAATTAGCATTCCATTTTTGTTTTCTTTCGTTTGATGGTGAGTTGTGTCGTCTCTGCTTATCTCCTATACACGTACCTGACTCGTAATAGCAAACTACTTATTTTTATAACTTCACGTTTCGGGTTGTCAACTTATAACCTCCCACCCTGTATAGGGTGGGTGGTTATAAGTTTACAACCTGAAGTGTACAGGTAGATT